ATATATTTCGTTGTTGTTTTAATGTTAGTTTTTTAAGTTAGCAATGAGTCGCATAATACATCTTTGAATTTTGTCACTAGGGGGCCTACTTTTCATCGTTCGCCTCAGGGCCCGTCAGACACAGGACCGGCTCTGGTAACATTCACTTATTAAAATGTTGTGATAGACCTCTTTAGCAACATTTAACTATCAACTGTTGCCATTTATGTGTTGCAAATGATCATTTTTGTGTAGTGAATCCTTAGTTACATAATAACATTTTTGTTTAATTCAAACTATCAAAAGATAATAACATACACTAGTCGGCAAACAAAATAAATCACACGTCACCAAGGTTATTTTCTTTATATATTGCAAGTACATTATTATTTAAAAGTCAAAGTTAAACATTAATTTTATCAACACATTTATTACGACCTACAACTACTATACACTACTCATTCCTAACACATTATAATATCAGTTGCCTAAAAGTAAAGCCAAACAAATACTTAGTCATATATGTCGCAGTATAGTTGCTTTTCAATTAACGTGAGTCATTTATACGAGAATTGTGGATTTAAAAGTAAAAGTAAGTAGGGTCAATTTTCATGTATTACACAAGTTCACATCATTGAATTGTTTCAAAATTGCTTACATTCAAATGACTTTGTGATCAAGATTTCTTGTTTATCATTTTTCTATTCTTTACTGTGTTTTGCACCTTCCTAGAAAGCTATTCAACCTAATTCTTCGCCGCTTCTTCTCCATCTTATTTAGTTTGATTTTAGATAAGGAGAGAAAATTTTAATTATAGACTTTCAAGTACATGTTTGTATGATAAACTATGCAGATATTATTGTTACGTGTTTGCACACTTGGACAACACACCGAGGTCCACAACCAACTCATGCTGAACCATGTGGCATTCAAGCCAAGGTGATTTGCATAGTCGAGGCCCACAAACCGAGATCCACAGAAGCCTAGGCCCATATATATCGAGGCCCATCTATCACTGCTTCTTGAGGAGCTTTCGAAGCCCATATGTCGAGGCCCTTTGAAGGTGGACGAGGCCCCATTGGCCGAAGCTCTGTAGCCGAGGTAGTAGCATCCTAATCACAAAGCAGCATCTTCCATAGACGCTTCTCCCAAGAGATCATCTGCACAAAGATCTTACTTGAATGATTGATAGGACGTTTGTCATGAGTGTAAATGTTAAGTCTTGTCACTAGTAGAGGCGGCACTGCCAATCAATGAACGTATAGTAGGCTAGGTGCGACTGATGCCTACAATTTAACATGTAAATTAACCGGATGAGGCCATGTGTACCCTGAACTAAAGGTCACGATCTAACTTGTGACACTATAAATACTCCCCCATGTACCCCACACAAAGGCTAATGCAAGAATCAATACAAGAAATCATACTTTACTCAACTCTCTCTTTCTTATTATCTTGCAACACAAACGAGTTCATACATATTTAGATACACATTTACAAACATCGATTGGTAATTATTGTACAATAGGTCTACGAACTTCCCGCTGGATTCTGAACGTTCTCATCCCGTGCTATTGAGCTACTTCCACGCCCCTAATCTATCTGTTTTAGACCGTCCACGTGTCTTAGTGTGTCGAAATTTCGCTCACGTGTGCGCGGGTGGGTCTGGCATCTGTTGGCAATATTTTTTGGGGTCAACAATTATATACAAAAGAATTTCAGTTTAGGGTACTCAAATATTTTTTATTTTTTATTTTTTTTGGGAGAGAACTTTAAAATAATAATGAAGGATGCATTGTGAAAACAAATTTCGAAGATATCTCAATAATAATCAATTATGCATCTATATAATTATCTCAATTCGATTATATAGGTTTATGGTCATCATGTAACACTCCAAATTTTTTTTACTATTTTTCATATAGACCTAAACTTAGTATTGATCATTTAGCAAATGAAATAGTCCATGTCTAGATTTGTCGTCACACTAAAAGCTCGAAGGTTGAAGTGGTAAACTCGACCTGCTTATTTGCATAAATGATTTATTTTCATACACGCACTTTTAGAGTTCATCGAAAACTATTTGGATCAAATATTTAAGTATTTTAAAAGTTGATAAAAATATATCAATATTATACTCATTTTGTATGTCGTGTTAAATAACATAAATTGTCTCAAGAACTAAATTTGGACTAGAAAAAATTTGTTTATTTTGATAGAAAGAAAATTATTCTAATCCTATATATATATATATATATATAACAGTAAAATGAAGAATGGGACGTTTCTTAGGAATTGAAAAATGGAAAATCAATCGTTTATTTATTAATATATTAAATTAATCTTTTCAACTTTTACACAACTGTCCCATCAATGAATACTAATTCCCACACTCACCATGAATGATTTGAAATAAAGAATAGGTTAGTTGACCTACTGAATTCCCCCTAATGTGTGATGGTTTGTATTTAAGTGACTATTATATATATAAAATGTATGAGAAGTGTTTTTCCCCTTCACATATGCACCACCACACATGAAAATACACATATTAAAATGAGATATTATCTTATTCACGAGTCATTTTCAGATTTATTTAGTATCAAATCAAGGTAAGAATTGTACAAGTGGTAAATTCTTATTTTCTTGGTATTTTTATAGCTTTTAGCATGAAATATTCTAAGGCCTTCTGATCGATTTTTATGTTAAATCTTACGGGATAGACCATTTGGTCAAATATATAAACCCTAAGGGATATAGGAATTCTTAAGAAATTTTTTGACCCATTAAATATCACGACTAGTTTGCTCTAAATCTAAGAAATGTCAGTATGACGTGTCATTTTATATTCATACCATGTTAATAAGAATATACATGTATTACTTACTGAATGTTTTTTCTAAAATACTCACTCTTACTAAACTTTCGTATTAGAACGGGTTATGTGGATGCGTGAAAGATTGACTGAGTGATGCTTATGGGGTTGTTAAGTAAAGTCTTCAGAAATTATAACTGCCAACTTTTATTTGAATAATATCTTATGTTAATGCACATTATTTAATATTTTTAGAGATCCAGCATTCGACATTTTATATTAAACCTTAAATTAATAGTTTGAAATAGAGTATTTCAAGAATTATATTTAATATGAAAACTTTACTTAACTTGTTATTTTATCGTTATCAAATTATCGATCACAATTTCGAATTTCAACCCTTAATAAAAGTGTTATTTTTGCTTAAATTGGATGAAGAAGAATTTGGTAACACGTAAAAATGAAAATGATTTCTGGATGCTACACATCAAGTCCATGGAGTCTACTTGATGTTGATATGTTTGAAAAAAATATTCAAACGAATCAATTCTCCGTTGATCTTTGCGTTGATTAACAATGTTAAAGAATGCCATTCAAGTAAAACTTGAATCTAGGACTCATCATAATTTTCACGATAGAATTCCAATACATAATTTTATTATGACTATCATATCATGTGACTATTTGACATGCCGACATGTAGTCAAGGAGACCCCACACGTTTTCTTTTCCTATCCACTCAAAGGGAAGAAATGAAAAATAATACAAAACGACAATCTAAAATTAAGAGTCCAGACAAATCATTGACCAAGTGGATTGACCAAGGTAGGATGAAATATCCCAGTTGCATCACTCAATTTGACATTCAAAAACCCCCATTTAAGCATGGAAATTTCTACAAAATGGTTTAGTTTTAAATAAGTGTGCGTTAAGGAATTGATTAAAATTAATTAAGTGGTTATAAGACGTAGATCCATAAAAATGTGAGAATAATAAATTGATATTAGTTGTGAATCTTATGAAACATGTAGATAAAAGTATATTAAACCAACTTAAATTATAATTTAAGGTATATTTGAGGTAGATTTTTTGAGATAGATTTTGTAAAAAGTGTTTTGTTTGGATAATATGTGATTAATAAGTAGAAAAAAATTGTCACATGCAAAATTATTTTAATGAGAGAACGTGTAATTAAAAATGAGTTTGAAAAAATAAGTTTTAAAATTTGTACCAAACAAGCGCTTAACCACTTCCCAAACATGCATAGCTTTATTCGGTTAGGATAAACTTCTCCTAATTTGGTATCAAACAATGCAAATAGTTTACAACAATAACTCGTAAAGAACTAGAACATGAGATTTAGAACTATAACCCACAATCTTTAGTTTAAGCGAGTTAATTATCGACACAACAATGAGATAATAAATAAAATAATTGCATTTTTAAGTTCCCAACGAAGGAATTCTTGTGTGAATGGTTGGACTCAAATTTTTAAGCTGAAGAATTGTCCAAATGTATAATGGCATGGGGCCCCCTCCTTCGTGAGTGGAGTGTACATCAGAGTAATGATGTGAGGCTCCCTCCCTTTGTGAGGGGCATGTACATTGGAGTGTACACCCCGTGTACGTGTAGCAAAGCTTAACTAAAAATAGTGTAAAGTTTGGGCCACACATGACTGATCACCTTAATAGGGTTGGTAACAATTCGGTTCGACCAAAGCCATCACCAAACCATCAATTTTTGGCAATCATAGCTGTACCATAATCACATAAGTTGGTTTGGTTCTGGCAATTAATAACCACGAAAATAAAAAAATTTTATAGGCCCAACCGTCAAGTTGGAAAAAAAACCAATGAAAGCAAAAACAAATACTAACCAAATTTAGCAAACAATATCATAAATGAAAATGCAAATAATATCCCAATTCTTAAATGCAAAATTCTAATTTAACAAACAATTTTCATATATGTTTAATATTTATGTAGTAGGGTGTAGGATTACTGGGTTAGGCAAATTGGACTTAGCGGGTCGATAATGGGCCAAAATTTTGAACCTGATAGAATCATAGAAAGAGTAATGGAAAGCTCAATTGTTCAATTAATTTTTTTTTTAAATGAGTAATCTGCTTGGGACGGGACGGGACGGGGCGGGGAGACAGCGTAAATACCATACTCGCCCTGTCCCGACCCGAACCGGGGACTAAATGTAGCTTCTTTTGTTAAGTTTACACCAATCAATCTCCTGATTGTCGATCACTGAAAACTCACATGCAACGGTTTACAAGATCTATCCTGCGCTATTCTCATTAAATGTTTTGATTTGTATTTTTGCCTCTCTACAATCATCAATCTTGGCCATGTTTTGGGCAAGAAATCCACACCTATGGAAGCTAGATTGGAATGTACAGCTTTTAGCCATTGTATATTGTGTAAGTGCATTTCTTTTCTCACATCCCCCTCACATGCTACATTTTTCCATTTATAACATTTTATTAACAGGCAACCTGATTACTAACAGGGAGTGGTGATATCAGCATTGGTATACTGGCTGCAAACATGGTGTATCGGTAAGAAGGGACCAGTCCTTGCAGCAATGTTTAGTCCCTTAATCCTTGTTATTGTGGGGATCTTTTCAGCAATTGTTTTTGCAGAGAGACTTTATTTGGGAAGGTAAGAGACACTCTACAACTCTAGTTACCCTTGGTTGGAGGGGCACAACCAGTTTTTAGGTTGGCCAACCCTTTGTTGGCATGTCAGGCTCAACTTATCTTGGCCTGGCACAGCCGGGGATGAGGGCTTCTACTTTCTCGGTAAAAGTTTTCTCCCTTCTTGTTTTCTTAAGTGGCTCACGTGAGCTAACTCGCATGAGACGCAAGCCTCTAAAGCCAAGCCCAGCATGGCTTGACTCTAATTCCAGGGCCAGCCTAGGCAGCCCGTCATGCACATCTAGGGGTAGGGGAGATTGTTGCCAATCAACTTTTGAGCGCATCTAGCATCAAAACCTGATTAAGAAGTGCTATTTTCTCTGTCACTACTGTTTATCCCAAAAAATAAATCTTAAACCAATATTTGTTCATGTTTTTGGGGGTGGTGGGAAGGTGCAATGAATTCTTCGATCCCAAGGCTGGTAAGCGACAAAGCAGGGCCTCACACCAAACATCTAAACCAAAAATTCTACCTTAATTTGTGTATGTCTTATACTTTGCATTCTTTTTGTTCAAATTATGATGTATTAATTCTTTTGTTGTTGATTTAAATTTGCCTAGCTTGATAGGAGCACTTCTTATCGTGTTTGGGCTATATTGCGTACTCTGGGGGAAGAAAGACACTGAAAAGCCATGCACCAGTAGAAGAGGCTATGATGATGATAAAATCCTAGACATTCCAGTGGATAACTCTTACCATGATGGCTCCCATCAAAACTGAACAGCAGAGATGACAAACTAAGTTGTAGAGACAAAACTTAGAGCTCCAAGAAAAATTCATAAACAAGTTATAACAGTGAGCACTTCATGATATCAGTTACGTAGCAGAATGACACAATTTGAACCCTTTTTTTTTTTTTTTTTTAAATAGAGAGGGAGTTTGACTCTCTACTCTATTTTTTTATTTTATTGTATTTCATAGAATATCTATTAATTGAAAAATGAGGGAAAAACAACACTTGAATGTTAGAAAAAGAAAAATGAAGAGCAAAAAGTAGAGATGTTGTTGGAGTGTCTAAAAAAATGATTTATTACATTTAAAGATGCTCTATATTATGATCAATATACTTTTTAAAAATAAAGACCTCTCAGAAATATTCTAATATACAAACGCATTTTTAGTATCCTAGAATTTAACAATTAATAAACTCATTTGTGTTTCTATTCCAAACCCCCATGAAGGATTTTTGTTTCATACAGTGGAATGACGAGAGCGATAAAACAACATAGTAAAAAAGAAAATTTGTAGTAGAGGTTCCAAACCTTTCAAAAATAAGTCGCCGGTCTCAATCCTTCTAATCTTAGCACTTACATCTCGAATCTTTTATCAAATTCGGGCACAAAAGACCACCTCTAGACAATTTTTTGCCAAATGACTGTTAGTTAATCGAAAGTTGAGCATTTGACCATTTTTAAAAAGGAAAAATTGGTAACTATAGATTTTCTCACTAAATCAATTAAAAAATATTACATAAAAGGAAACATAAAAGGAGAAAAGGAATTAAAAAGGAGAGATGTTTTGAAACTTTTCCTGAAAATTTTAAAAAAAAATAGGGACTAAAACGTGAATTTTCAAATTTAGTGTGGGGCGGCGACCCCACTGCCCCCATGCTAGATCCGCCCATGATTATACTACTGTAGAAATAGTTATTTATATTTTATTAAATTAATTAATCATTTTCCTATCTTTTACAAATTAATAAAAAATAAAAACTCTAGATATATTTTAATTAGCACTATTATAATATATCTCATTTGTTGCTTGAAAATATAGTTATTTTATTAAGCTCTTAAAACTGCATTTGGTATTATAATTTATATGTATTATTAAATAATTTTTATATTGATTAAAAATTTAAAATAATATTACAATAAGAAAACGTTTTTTTTAAGCTATTTTATGCCTAAACCGCGCCTAAACATGCAACAATTGAAAGACTTCTCGGCCATTTAAAAGTGGCTTAATGAAAGAATACCGTCACATCAATATAACCCGATCATCCAGTTTGTTAAATTTAGTGAAACCCCCATCATCCTCTTCACTCACCTTCGGTTCTCATCTGAAATGCAGTTTTCTAAAAAGGCAGAATCTTAGCGGGGAAGTCCCTTCAGAACTGTTTAGACTCCCTTACCTCGTAGAAATGTGAGTGCATTCCCTTTTTTCTATAGAACAGTCATTCAAATGTGATAAAATTAAACTGTCAATCAATTTGAATGTGTTTTTATACAGTGACCTCACTCGCAACTACCTTAACGGCACTATCCCTCAAGAATGGGGTACCATGCAACAACTTGAAAGCATGTATGACACTCTTCACCTCCCTCAATTCTTTCAGTAAATTCATTTTTTGTGTAAGTATATTTTTATGAGTGTGTGCTTGTTTATTTTTCAAAGCAATACTAAACTAATTTTGGTTCATGTTAAGAAATAAAACGGATTGAAGTAATATATATGATACGATATGAAGTATATGATAACAAACAAAGAACAAGATAAAATGCAAAGAATTAATTGACAGAGGAATGGCGTATTGTAAGAAACTTTAGACATACCTCCAACCATGTTATTCAAGATTTGATTGAAAGTTTGCTATAGAAATGGGTCTTTAAGGCACCAAAGGTCTTCTAGCCAATACCCACTTTATAACCCTTGAACTTAATGGAAATAAACACCGGACTTTCAATTTTTAGAGATAAAATTCTTCAAGGATTTTGTACGGGTTTGGCTACTGACCCTTTGGCATAAATATATGTAACACCCCGACCTTTTGTGGATCGGAACGCTACTTACTTTACTTAACTAACCGGTGGTTTAGTCATAGAAGAATATGTTTTAGCGGAAGCTTAATTTTTATAATGATAATTTCAACAACAACCTTTCGAATACTTTAAATAAAACACTGAATAAAAAAATAACAGAACGTAATTTATTTGAAAAAAACACAACTTGTTCTCGCATTCAGCGTTATTCAAATACTTTAAAGAAATAACATTGAAAACATTCACAAAAATAAATTTAAATAACTGGTTCACCGGGTTTTTCTCTAGGCTCGTTGCACCACTCTCCATCTTTTCCATCATTCAGGCCCAAGGTAGAATCATATCAATCTGTAGAGAAGGGGTTAAACTCGTGAGTTAAAAAAAAGCTCAATAGATATCATTGGTGCATTCGTGATCAAGTTATACATTTCAAAGCTGTAACTTTAGAAACCTTTTCTTAGTAGGATTTTCGATAGAATTTCAAACACGTAGAGTCATGACTTAACAAGACACCTCGACCGGAAGTACATGCCTTACCCGGAAGTACCATTAGATATGGAGGTGTATGCCATACCGGAGGTACCATTAGACATACAAACATTAACATGAATCTTTATTTGCTAGAAACTTATAACTTAACACGAATTAACACTTTACACCTCTACCTACCTTGATTGATGCTTTGAACCTTGTTGAAAAATGCACTCTTTTGATGTTTCAAAAAAAACACTCCGTTGAAAATTGATGCTTGGAAAACACGTCTTGATAGCACCAAAACTTTTAGGAAAAACTAATTTTCCTTCCTCTCCTTTCTCTTTTTTCTAGACTTGAAAATTCTCTCTTTTATGCTTAGAAACTTTTGTCTTGGTGTGAAAAATGTGTATGCATTGGGGCCTATTTATAGGTGAAAATCTCACAACTTAAGGGCAAGTGAAGGGCCTAATACTCATTAATACGGGGTGCCATTTATGTGGGAGTTATAGGTTTAAGAAGGTGCTAGAAAATCATGTAGGTATTTGACTTTTCATATTCCGCGTACTTTGGTTGATACTGTACAGCCTTTAGTATTTTTATCATAACTTTTTCTCCCGATATCCGATTGAGGTAATTCAAAGTGCATTGGAAAGCTAACTCAAAGAGCTACAACTTTTCTTTAAATATCATTTTTCAAATCGAATGTTTTCTATGTCGTAAATGGGTCTCAAATGAGACTAAAAATCTGAAGTATACTTTAGCCATTGAATATTCATGTCTTAGTGCCACTAAGGTGTTTAAAATTATTTGGGGTTCTACAATATAGGCAACCACCAAACAATTTTCATCCATCATGAAAGTAGGTAGTTTTTTCCTGCAATAACTTCCCTCCTTTAACCAAATGGGAAGGTATCTTGGCAATTAATTAACTCACAATTTAAACTTAAAATGTATTTATTTTTACATTGACCATGTGGGCCACAAAGTGTTTACATTCTCCCACTTGATCCACATGTTCACTGATTAACTTTAAAGTAGGTACTTAATATGGCCATATGCTACATTGGTTCAAATCCAGCTCGGCCCAATAATTCACCAATCTCCCATGAGATGAAATAACCCCTTTGTCCGACTCAGTTATTAATATAGTGAATAGATTTGCCATTTTTTGAAATCTCTCTTCTGATTAAAATCGTGGTGTAACACGTATTTTCGATAAAGAGAAATACGACCAATAGTAGTTCGAATGTATAAAAAAGGAATTTCTTTTTTTAATTTCACTTTCGATTAACAGAGGCAGGCCCTAAAAATAGCCCAGATTATGAAGATTCTTGTTTGATGAATGCTGAAACTGGCAATAACCTACTCAAGTAGAAATTCACAATGTTTGAATCATGGCAGTCTTTTTTTAGTAATCAAACATTTCCTTCCATGTATTACAAGTATGATCACTTCTAGAGTGTACTTTATTTTATGAATGAACTTCCTATATATCATTTAGGGTCCAAACTTTAATAACTACAATGGATATCAAAATTACAAACTTTAAGTGAACAAATAACATTGTTTCAAATACAAAACAATAGTCTTAAAAATCGAACATCAGAGTATCAACTAAACACGCAAGTCCCATATTCTCAACATGAGCTTTATAAACTTTAGCCGACAAGCCCTTAGTCATAGGATGTGCAATCATGAGATTTATCTTGATGTGCTCAATGGCCACTTTATTTTTCTTTATATGATCTCTGACAACCAGATACTTTATGTCGATATGTTTGCTTTGACTTCCACTTTTGTTATTTCTTGAAAAGAAAATTGCAGCCGAATTATCGCAATAAATCTTCAAAGGTTTCTCTATATTGTCGAAAATTCTTAAACCTTTGACAAAATTTCTCAACCATAATGCCTATGTTATAGCTTCATAGCAACTAATGAATTCTGCTCCCATGGTAGACGATGCAATTATAGTCTGCTTGCTGCTTCTCCAAGATAAAACTCTTCCAGCTAGAAGAAAAATTTATCATGAAGTAGACTTTCTTGTGTCTACACATCCAGCGAAATCTGAATCCATATATCCAACAACTTCAAGATTGTCAGAATGTTTGTATGTGAGTCTGTAGTCTTTGGTTCCTTGTAGATACTTCATTACTTTCTTAGCAGCTTTCCAATGTTCTATACCCGAATTTCTTTGATATCTACCTAGTACACCAATTGCAAATACAATGTCGGGTCTAGTACAGACTTGTGCACACATGAAATTGCCAACGGCGGTAGCATAGAGTATAGAAGCCATGTGCTCTCTTTCTAATTCATTTAGTGCACACTGATTTTAACTAAATTTATCACCTTTAACGATGAGTGCTACAGTTGATGCACAATCTTTCATCCTGAATCTTTCCAAAACCTTTTCAATATAGGCCTTTTGAGACAATTCTAATGACCTTTCAGATCTGTCTTTGTAAATCTCTATGTCAATGACATAAGAGGCTTCACCAATATCCTTCATTTCAAAGTTTTGACTAAGAAATCATTTTGTGTCATGTAGCATTTCCAAATCGCTACTTGCCAGTAAAATATCATCTACATATAGGACCAAAAATATGTATTTGCTCCCACTGACTTTAAGATATATGCACTGGTCAATGTTATTTTCTGTAAAACCATATGAAGTAACAACGTTGTGAAACTTCAAATACCACTGATGGGAAGCAAACCATGTGATTTCCTTTGTTATTGGCAAATCCTTCAGACTGTTTCATGTATACTTCTTCTTCAAGATCCCCATTCAAAAATGTTGTTTTCACATCCATTTGATGTAGTTCCAAATCAAAATGAGCTACTAAAGCCATTATAATTTTAAATGAATCTTTATTAGAAACTGGAGGAAATGTTTCATGGTAATTTATGCCTTCTTTTTGAGTGAAACCCTTAGCTACAAGTCTGGTCTGATATCGTTCTATAGTACCAGATGCATTTCTTTTGGTCTTATAGACCTATATACAACCAACGGCTGTATGTCCACATGGCAATTCGACGAGATCCTAAACTTGATTTTTTAGCCATAGATTTCATCTCTTCTTTCATGACATCATACCAAAAATTTGAATTTTCCCCTTCAACAGATTGTGAAAACGAGCTAGGATCATTTTCAAATTCAACACATGTATCGAACTCTTGAAGATATAAAACATAATCGCTAGAAATTGCAGGTTTCCTTGTTCTTGAGGATCTCCTTATACCTATTATCTCATCTTGATTTTGGATATTTTGAGAGAGTAGTAATAGGTTCAACATCAAGTGGGGATTCTTGTTCTACATTTTCCTCATGCAGTAACGGTTGTTATTGGGTTGGTTCATTTCTAGTTGTACTTGAATTCTTTCTTTTGAAAGGAATCAATATACTCGGATTAGAAGATGACCCAACTGAATCGTTCATTTCCTGAAAATCAATATTTCTAGGAAACTTACTCCCACTCACTTCATGATCCTCTAGAAATTTTACATTTTAGCTTCGACAATCCTTGGAGTGTGCGTAGGATAATAGAATCTATAGCCCTTGGAGTTCACTGGATAGCCTATGAAAAATTCACTAACTATCCTTAGGTCCAATTTCTTTATGTGAGAATTGTAAACTCTCATTTCAATTGGACAACCCCAGATATGTATATTCCAAATTTCAAATGGTGTTTTAGGAAATGCCTTAGATGGAACCTTAATTAAGATATACGCGACAATTTTTAAGGCTTCACTCCACAGATTCAAAGATAGGCTCGAATTGCTCATCATGCTCCTAACCATGTCTAATAAGGTCTTCTTTCTTCTTTCAAATACACTGTTTTGTTGTGGTGTGCCTGGCGTCGTATATTGTGCTACGATACCTTGTTTTGTTAAAATCTTAGTAAACGGACCTGGCATTTATCCCCTTTCTGTGTACTGTCCATAAAATTCTCCACTCTTATCTGACCTTATAATTTTGATTTTTATTTCCTTTTGGTTCTCTACTTAAACTTTATAAATCTTGAAAGCATCTAGTGTATCATCCTTATGATTTAGAAGATAGAGATACATATATCTTGAATGATCATCTATGAATGAGATAAAATATCTATGACCATTTAGACAAGGAGTAGGAAAAGGTCGACAAATATCTGTGTGAATAATCTCGAGACTGTCTGAACTCCTTTTGGCACCTTTAGTGGTCTTGTTTGTCCGCTTTCCCTTTATGCAGTCAATATAAGTCCCAAAATCAGTAAAATCAGGAGTTGGTAAAACTCCATCATTCACTAATCTTTTAAGTTTCTCCATGGAGATATGTCCTAATCTCCCGTGTCATAACTTAGAGGAGTTTTCTTTAACAATACAACGCTTATTGCCAATACCATCACCATGCAGTTCGGATAAGTTACACTTATAAGTGGGATCCAAAACAAATTTATATAAATTATCAACCAAAATACCATGTCTAACAATAAATGAATTGTAAAATAAGTGAAAGCTTCTGCTTTCAAATACAAACTTGAAGTTTAAATGTGCTAATCTTAAAATAGAAACTAAATTATAAGAAAAGCTTGGAACATAAAAAGTGATTTTAAGATCCAAGTGAAAACTAGAATTTAAAACTAATCTAAAAGTTCGCACGCCTTCAACTGTTGAACTCAACTAGTTTTCCGAATAGACTCTTTGTTCACTTGGTTGCGGCTTCCTTAGGTCCAAAAAGCCCTGCATAGTATTGGCAATGTGAATTGTAGTACCTGAATCAATTCACCATGTATTGTTTGGAACATTAACTAAAAGAGATTCATGACACACTAGAGAGATAAGAGTACCTTTATTTTCGAGCCATTTCTTATACCTAAAATAGTCCTTCTTCATATGCCCTTTCTTCTTGCAAAAGAAATAGACATCCTTATTGCCCTTTTGTTTCATTGACATTTTGTTCTTCATTTTAGGACCATATTTACCCTTGTTCTCATTTCCCTTATCATGAGATGTTAGATGAGCAGTTTCCAACTTTTCTTGCTTTAGCCTCTCTTCCTCTTGAACACACATTGTTAGAAGTTCATTCATAGTCCATTTTTCCTTATGTATGTTATACAATATTTTAAATGGACCATACTCCGTAGGAAGAGAGTTCAAAATAAGATGCACAATGAATAACTTAGAAATCTCTATCTCCAGGGATTTTAGACAAGCAGCAATATCTCTCATTTCCATTATGTGCTCACGCACGTACACCTTTAGAATTGTCAAACTTCATGCCCGAAAGCTTTTTCATTAAGGTGCTGGCCAACATTATGTCAGAACTTACAAATTGCTCTTCAATAGCCTTTATAAAGTCCTCGACCTTATCACATTGAGGGATTGATCCCCTAATGCTTTTTCTAACATGAGTCTTCATGAGACTCACACTCAAGCGGTTGGATCTTTCTCATGATTCATATAGTGACCTCTTGAGCACACATTGTTAGGAGTTCATTCACAGTCCATTTTTCCTTATGTATGTTATACGATATTTTAAATGGACCATACTCCATAGGAAGAGAGTTCAAAATAAGATGCAAAAGCAATGACTTAGAAATCTCTATCTCCAGGGATTTTAGATGAGCAGCAATATCTCTCATTTCCATTATGTGCTCACGCACGCACACCTTTAGAATTGTTAAACTTCATGCCCGTAAGCCTTTTCATTAAGGTGCTGGCCAACATTTTGTCAGAACTTACAAATTGCTCTTCAATAGTCTTTATGAAGTCCTCAGCCTTATCACATTGAGGGATTGATCCCCTAATGCTTTTACAAACATGAGTCTTCATGAGACTCATGCTCAAGCGGTTGGATCTTTCCCACAATTCATATAGTGACCTCTCTGCTGGCGTACTTGATTCCGTAAGGACAAGTGGTTCGTCCACACGGAGCGCCAACTTGAGATCCATACATCCCAAAGTAAGGAGAATTTTCTCCTTCCAGCCAGAAAAGTTATCACCACATAGAATCGGAATTTAATAGACACATTGAAAAAACTAGATATCACTACATAAAATAAACACATACATTAATGCTATGAAAACCATCTTTATATTGAATTAACCAATGTCAATTCAATTATGTAAATCCAAACCTTCCTGTGGGTAGAGGTTATTATCACTCATCGAATTTACAAAGACTATAGTAATATATAAATACAGGTATTTTCCATACCTGTGGGCCTAGGAAATTTCTTGTTTCGATATTTAATAAGTACTTTATTGCAATTAAATCTTTAAGACAACTATTTGCCCCCTAAATAATCATCATAATAATTAACTGCACTTTATGAGATATCAATTATATCACCAAATAATTCCTTTTGTGACTTATATTCCCGACATAAAATTATAACTAAACGCTTTGGCTAATCTTAAGTAATAATAACATGTCGAAACCTCAAATGACATCTCTAGACTAAAGATCCTTAAGGAGGTTGATGAATATTAACTAAATCCTCCCACAAAATATTCAACATATTTATCAGATTTAAAGAAAAAAAAAATGTGTGTAAAGTTTAGCAACTACACTATTTATATTTCAATAAACAGATTGCTATTTAGACATAGAAATATAGAAATATAAACTACTGTAATGTAATCAAAATATGTGTTCAAGTTTAGTACAATTAGTATATAACTAGAATATAATAGTTGGTGAATTCTAACTAATTAATTTTGGTACGGACATCTTTACTGCTTTAAACAATTTGATTCCATTAAACAAGTATATGCCATAACAATTCCAATGATTTATCACACATAAAGATCAGGTTGTGCATGAATCAATGTGCGTCAGTCATTTATTACCTTTTGCAAATAATTTCCATGGTAAACTGGGGAAAAAAAAATTGGTTAATATGTTTAATCATGCCAAAGTTCCTTTTTAACATCAATGCACGTCAACATCTTAGCATTTATTCGTAATGTCATTCTAGCAGTCTCATTTAAATTTCACAAACCCATTAGCAAACTAACTATTTAATGGGGCAACACAACATTTGCTTTTTCAGATAATTTCGTTAAACACGCATACTGCTTTAAAATATAAAATTGCCTCCATAAAATATTTGTTTTCCTGCAAGTAATTGGATTAATGCCAATTAAACCAAATTAAAACATTATGTATACATGTGCACATGGTCATGCATATTAATTCCAAAAACAGTGATTTTCTTTCTCAATTAAAACCAAAGGAAAACTGAAGAACAACATATAAAACATTGGTAATGCAATCTGTATTTCATAAAAATCTGAATAACCAAGCATGAAGGTGGCTCTGATACCACATCTAAGAAACTTTAGACATACCTCAGCTATGTTATTCAAGATTTGATTGAAAGTTTGCAATAGAAACGAGTCTTTAAGGCACCAAAGGTCTTCTAGCCAATACCCACTTTATAACCCTTGAACTTGATGGAAATAAACATAGGATTTCAATTTTTAGATAGAAAATTCTGCAGGGATTTTGTACGGGTTTGGCTAGGGACCCTTTTGCATATATATAGGCAATCACCAAACAACTTCCATCCATCATGGAAGTGGGTAGTTTTTTCATTCAATAACTTCCCTCCTTTAACCAAACGAGAAGTTCTCTTTTCAATTAATTAACCCACAATTTAAACTTAAAATGTATTTAATTTTACATTGACCATGTGGGCCACAAACGGTTTAAAAGTATTTTATTCAATTGACGAATATAGAGAAAATAAATACAATAATTATGCCTACACAATTATTGTATATTTCAATAATACGAAACTTGTGAAAAGAGTCCAATGAGGAAATCTCCCAAATGGTCACTGAATTTTGCCGAAGTCCCCCAGAGAGGTCACTCAACGTTGTAAATTGGGACCCCATATATTACAAGTTTAGTGACCTCCCAGGGACTTTTTGCAAAGTTAAGTGACCATTTAGGAACGTTTTGAAGTTCTATGATCTCTTGGGGGATTTCAGAAAAGTTCAGTGATTATTTAGGGACGTATTGAAGTTCGATGACCTCTTAAAGAATTTTTTGCAAAGTTCAGTGACCATTGGGAGGATTTCCTCAGAGTCCAGTATTTATAGGGGTACATGTCAAACACTAGAATTGCCATGAAGATGGAAATAAGATAAAAGAATCACGGAAACAATATTTTTCCAATAAAAAACTTGTGGAATAAAAAAAATATTTTCCAACTATAGCACGTGTAATAAAGGAAATAATATTTTTCCCAAGAATATCCAATCTAATTTGGGACAAAAAACCGAGCACCAAATGGGGTACCAATACCATGCAACAACTTTTAAACATGTATGACACTCTTCACCTCCCCATTTCTTTCTGTAATTCATATTTTCTGTATGATTATCTTTGTAAAGCAATTCTTGGGCTCTAGTATTAACATAATTTTGGTTCACTGCAGTTCCCTCTTGGGAAATCGTATTACAGGTCCAATACCGGGCGAACTTGCCAACATCAGTACTCTTTCGGATCTGTAAACTTTCTTGATTACCATTTCATTTTACTCCCGTTTATATAAGTGCGTAGAATTTTGATTCAATTGATATTTATTTAAGATTTTTTAAAAATTTTTTTTTTCGAAACTCTCAGAGTCCTAGAGTGCAATCATTTGTCTGGAAATATTCCTCCAGAGTTTGGGAATTTTTCAAGCATACAGAAAATGTAAGACCCTTTTACTGGAATAATTACAATTTTTTTTTTTTTTCCCCTGATTTTTAGATAGTTTCTTTGGCTTATTATTGTCGATTTTGATTTTTTCTCGCGTAATGTTAATATGTGAAGACAATTGACGTCAAACAATCTAACTGGGGAATTGCCTGCTACTCTAGCAAAATTGACTACATTGAAAGACTTGTAAGTTCCTTCATTTCGTTTAGTTTTTTGGGGTTATATTTCATGATACAGATTTCCATTTTTCAATCTTGAAATTAGTTACTTAGACTTGTTTTTATTATAATGCAGCCGTATTGGTGATAACAAGTTTAGTGGAAGCATACCTAATTTTATCCAGAGCTGGACAAATTTAGAAAAGTTGTGAGTGTCGATTGCTATATTATTACACTATATACTTTCATCTATGTTTTTCGCCTTTGATTTTCTGAGTTTTTATTAATGCTAACCTCTTAACTTGAAATGCCAGAGTGATTCAGGGTAGCGGTTTGAGTGGGCCGATCCCTTCAGTCTTTGCTTCCCTGACCAAGTTGACTGATGTGTAAGTACATATTACTGTTTATTGACTTTGGGCAAATGAGCGGCATATGATCTTATTGAAGTGGTGACAAATCAAGTTTATTTCAAGAAGTAAAAGAACTCTATTGAACGGTTTTTCGCAAATATTCTTGTGAATCTAAATATGCAGGAAAATCAGTGATTTGAATGGCAATGATTCAACTTTTCCACCTCTTAGTAACAATAGAAACCTGAAGAAACTGTGAGTATGGTGCTTATATGTTGCTCTCAAGGAGAACAAAACATTGCTTGTGCATTACTCGATGAATCTGGTTTTTCAGGATACTAAGGAGCTGCAATATTGTTGGTCAGATACCAAGTTATATCGGGACATTGCCTAATTTGAAACTCTTGTTAGTATAATCATTCCTTTTCCTACTATCATAACTTGTAGATTTGTTCTCAAATGCTATGCAAAGTTATGAAAGCTTTTCAACTGATTATTCTGTGCTGGAAGTTAGTTTAAAATCCTCAATCATTCTGATTCTTTGAATTGCTTCCATCACAATATTATAATTTTCAATAATTATTTAGAGATTTTAATATCATTGGAGTATTGACGAGGTACTGTTGGAAATTGGTTTAAAAATTGAGAAATTTGGATAAGTATAAATGTGGAAAAGTGACCTTCATGTCAACGTCAGCCAAATATTCGGACTTGATCCGTAGTTAAATTATAAATATAAAAAGACTAACTTGTTCTACTCGTCGAGTAGATCATCGTGGTATATTTGACATCTCAAAACCAATTCCAGATGAATGAGAAATTGCCGTCCAAAGTTGGAAAAAAAATAGAGGAAAACTGGCCTGGATTTTTGCCTAACTCCGTCGCTTGCCTATCGCTAGAGCAATGAGGCTATCGCTCAAGTGACAGGCTAATGACATGCGGATGAAAAGTTCCTGATAAAATTTTGACATTGGTGCTCAAGCGAGAGGCCAGCGACAGCAAGTGATACTTCCCCTCGTAAAGTTACGAGGTTTGATGTACATCACTTCAACCACACTCCTCATTTTCTGTAAATAGGACGCTTTGGAAGTCCACAATGCATTCCATATCACTTTTGCATTGAGCATTGCATAAAACTCTCTTGCAAAAACTCTTCAAAATTATTCCAAACCCATTTATTCTTATAGAGAGAAGGCTCAGTTCTAAGTTCGCTGAAACTTGTGATTTGAAGTGATTCTATCACAAATTGAATATGTTTATCTCGGGAGACAAGTGCTATACACTGTTAGTACCATTGCGGGGCAGTATTATCTTAAAGAAAGAGTGATTATCACTTGCCTTAGATCTCTTTTTCTTCTCCTTTTTCTTGTTGGTTTACATCCCTTCAAAATTTTGATGTTTAATTACGCTCCTACAAATTAAACCTTTCCACTTCGTTGATTCATTACAAAAAATCCTTTCTCCACCATTTTCTGAACAACAATCTTAAGATAATATTTTTTGTCTGTTGTTGTTTGTTGGAAACCAATACCGTTCGTTCATATATTGGAATAGGCATTTGTGTACTGTTCCTCTCTTCTATATTTAGTGTTGAACTTCTGTTGATGTAACAGAAATGAATACCATGGAGACGACATCAAGTCAACAACCATTGGTACGTATAATGTGGTTCCATCTTTGGCTCTACCACTTCAAAATACTGCGATCCCACATGGGGAAAAATCAAAAAGTTTGAAGGCACTGACTTTAAGATTTGTTCTATCTTACCACTCTAAACTTGCGATGTTTCTGAAAGAGACTGCACCAACGATCCAACGAATCTATTATTACTTTGGATGCATGGAAGCACTCAGACATCCTATGCAAGAACTATATATTAAATATACATTGCTTGAATGTATAGTTCGAAGGATTTGTCCATGGCTCTATGGGATTCGTTGGAAAAGACCGAGGATTCCAGAATGAAAAAGTTTATTGTCGGCAAGTTTTTGGATTACAAGATGGTAGACTCTCAAGCAATGATAAGTAAAGTACAAGAACTTCTGGTTCTACTTCATGATATACACGTCGAAAAGAAGGAGTTAAACGAATCCTTCAAAGTTGCTACCATCATTGAGAAACTCCTTCCTATGTGGAGAGACTTCAAAAACTATCTCAAGCACAAACACAAGGAGATGAACTTGGAGGAATTGATATCCGCTTGAAGATCAAAGAAGACAATAGAAAAATTGAAAGAATGTCTATTGTCTAATTTGGAGTAAACTTTGTTGAAACCAATTTGAAGATTGTCAACAAGAAGTGCAAGATCTCCGATAATGCACCAAGAAGAGACAACTTCAAGAAAGCTAAGAAGTTTAAAGACAACTGTTACAATTGTGGAAATGCCGAACATCGTTCAAGCAAATGTTGAAAGTCGAAAAAGAACGTACAAGCAAACATGATTAAAAGAGACACGTTGTCTGAAGGGATATAGGAAATGAACCTATCTGCAATTGTTTCTGAATGTAACAATGTTGAAAATTCAAGGGAGTTGTGGGTTGATACTGGTGCTATCTATCACGCATGTGCAGAAAATGCTATGTTCTCTAACTCTAAAGAATTAAATGGAGAACAACTCTTCATGGGAAACTCTGTAAGTTCCAAAGTGGAAGGACAAGGAAAGTTAGTTTAAAGATGACTTCCGGTAAAGAACTCGTCCTCAAAAATGTCTTATATGTGCCAAACATTTACAAGAACCTTGTATCTGGGTCTCTACTTAGCAAAAATGACTTTAAGCTTGTATTTGTATCCGATAAATTTGTATTCACTAAGAATGAGACGTATGTGAGAAAATGATGCATGTGTGATGGAATGTTGAAAATGAACGTTCTTACAATTGCACCAAGGCAAAGCATTATTAATAAAGATTCTAATTCTGTTTATATACTTGAGTTGTCTTGTTCGTGGCATAGTCGATTAGGACATGAAAATTAAAAATCTTTGTGCAAACTTATGAATTAAAGTTTAATCCGATGCTTAAGATTGATCCTAATCATAAATGTGAAGCATGTGTTGGATCAATCATAAATGTGAAGCATGTGTTGAAGCAAAGTTAGCTAAAACACCATTTTACTCGGTTAAAAGGAACACAACAACTTTAGAATTAATCCATAGCGACATTTGTGATTTGTGATATGTTTAACTAAAGGTGGTAAGAAATACTTCATTACTCTCATTGGTGTTTGTGCAAAGTATTGTAATATCTTTTTACTAAGAAGTAAAGACGAAACATTAGATGTATTCAAACATTATAAGACCGAAGTTGAGACTCAACTTGATAAACAAATATAGAATATTTGTACTGATAGAAGAGGTGAATACGGGGCTCCGTCTGAAGATTTCTATTCCAAACATGGAATTATTTATCAAACAATGACACCATACTATCCTCAGTCAATGTTGTTGCTGAGCGCAAAAATCGAACACCTAAGGAAATGATGAAGGCAATGTTCTTAAGTTCGGATTTACCTTAAAATTTATGAGGGGATGCTATTTTAATGGCAAATAGTATTCTTAACAAGATACCCCTCAAGAAAATGGATGAAACCCCATATGAGTTATGGAAATTTCATCCTCATTCCTATCAACACTTGAAAGTCTAGAGGTGTTTGGCTAAGGTTGAAATCTTTAAGCCTAAACAAGTGAAGATTGGTCCGAAAATGATTGATTGAATTATTATTGGATATGTCAATAATAATGATGCATATTGTTTCCTTGTACATAAATCAAAAGTTCAAGATGTATGATGCAGTAAATCACAACTACAATTGATCTCCTACTACTAATTGTATTATATATTTTTTAGGAGTTTATTTTCTTTTAGTTTTCTTGTAATAGGACTTTTGTTATTATATTTAATTAGGACTTTAGTTTGTTTATTAATTAGAATAGGAATTTTAATTATATTAGAATTTTATTAGTTTCCTTACTTTAGACTCCTTATACTATTAGGAGTAAGAATAATTTGCCTATAAATATAGCTGGTTATGTACATTTTTCATATCAATTATCAATTATCATAATAATCATTCATTATTCAATCAATACAAGCAAGTTATTCAACTATAGTTTTTTTCATTACAATTCTTATTACAAGAATTTTTTCATGCTTCCACACTAGAATTGGTATCAGAGTAAGGACTTGCCTTAATCCGATGGCCGACTACGGTACTGGTGGCAGTCGAACCGTCGATGACGAAAAGGAGGTTCGACAGACTCGAACAACGAATCGAAGGGATCGACGAAGCCCTTCACAACCTCACACAGATGCTGACTATGTTAAGTTTTGAAAGGAATTGCGAGTCCATGGAAAAGAAAGTTGACAAGAATTTGCAGACTTGAATTGCAATGAATGTTGGTTGCTTCAACAAGCATAGAACAATGCAACATGTGGCTAAAGAATTTCCTCGAGTCCCAGCCAAGTTTGAAAACATGCAAGTTATTAAGGATTCTATGAAGGTTTATGGGGAAGATAATAGAGAGTCTAATTTGAAGTGTAAGAAGATTTTTAGAGCACAATACACCATCAACAATAAAGTATGCAAAGTGATAGTAAATCATAAGAATAGTGAGAATTTGGTGTCCAAATCAGCGGTGAAAGCTTTAAATTTGAAGATCGAAAAATACTCATTTTGCTATCAAGCTTCACACCGGCAAGAAATTCAAGTTGTGGAGGTATGCAAAATTCCACTTTCTCTTGGAAAGTACTACAAGGATGAGATTATATGTAACGTAGTAGAGATGGACGATTGTCATATACTTTTGGGACAACCATGGTACTATAATGTAGATTCCATTTATAAAGGTGGAGATAATAGGTATGTGTTTTGGTAGTACAATAAGAAGATTATTTTGGTGTCACATGATGAGCAATTTTTGAGTACTATTGTAGACAAAAGAGAAAATGATCAATAATGCAGATAATGAGGTTAAAAAAGATGCAATTTAAGATAATTAAGATGCTACTATCCATGATACTAAAATAGAAAAGGAAAAGCATGTACAAGTTCATAATTCGAGATTTGTTGATTCGTATATGGAAACTGCAATTGAAAACTTCAAGAATGATGTTGGAGCATCATCCAAGGCATTGGAAAATGAGCTAATTACTAATGATTCAGACAAATTAGGTCACCAAGCATGTAGATCAACCTCAACATCGCCAAGTCATAAATTGGAGTCACCTCAGACCCAAAACATTGATGAATCAAATTCTAAATGCAGTACTTCATAAACGTTCGGTGTTCAGATTGAAGAATTAGATTTGATGTCAAAGGAGGAACTCAAATATGTTCTAGATAATGGGGAGAACAGAAATTGAAAAGTATAAAGAATTGAAAATAGCACCAGTGGCTTTTATCAAGAGCAATATGTTCGCCTTAGTAGTTAAAGGTCAATCAAAAGCAAGTATGAAGATACCAGCCAAAGTTCAGAAGATAACTTATCATGCAGATCTATTCTTGGATAAGTACAAAGATTATGGGGTGGTAGGAAATCAAGAAATTGAAAATTTTTCAATACCAGTATTGATAGAAATTTTTGAACATTTTCCTCCAGATTGATTGATTTTCTTTTTCATCAACAAAACTCGAGGATGAGTTTTCTTCAAGTGGAGGGGATTGATGTAGCACATCACAACTACAATTGATTTCCTACTATTAATTGTATTTTATATTTTTTTAGGAGTTTATTTTCTTTTAGTTTTCTTGTAATAGGACTTTTGTTATTTCATTTAATTAGGACTTTAGTTTCTTTATTAATTGGAATAGGAGTTTTAATTAGATTAAAATTTTATTAGTTTCCTAGTTTCCTTATTTTAGACTCCTTATACTATTAGGAGTAGGAATAATTTGCCTATAAAAATAGGTGGGTTATGTACACTTTTCATATTAATTATCAATTATCACTACAATCATTCATTATTTAATCAATACAAGCAATTTATTCCAATATAGTTTTTTCATTACAATTCTTATTACAAGAATTTCTTCATGCTTCTGCACCAATGTACATTAAAGAACCATAATTGGATAAAGAAATGAGTCATTCTTCAATAATGTTTTTCCTTGTAAAGAAAAGGAAAATAAAAGTTTGAATAAAAGAACTTATGAGACTACAAATGAATCTTCAACTGAGGAGAACCAAGGCAGGGTAAAAGAGCTAGGATATCAATGATATTTGGCCTAGATTTTCTAACCTATATAGCATAAAATGAACTAAAGACTTTCGATGAATCAATATCTTCATCGGAAGCACCGTATTGGAAAAAGGCTATTAATAGCGAGATAGATTCTATGATGCATATTTGGGAGTTAGTTGATTTATCTCCTGAAAAAAACCCTTAGGGTTTAAATGGATTTTAAAAAAGAAACTAAAATCTGATGAATCCATTGATAAATATAAGGCTAGGTTGATTATCAAAAGATATAGATAAAAAGATGAACTTGACTTCTTTGATGCCTACTCACTCGTAACTAGAATCAGATAGATAAGATTGTTAATTGCAATTGCGACAATACCCAATCTTGAGATTCATTAAATGGATGTAAAAATGGCATTCATAAATGGCGCGTTAGAAGAGGAGATATACATGGAACAACCTAAAGTGTTCGTCTCTCCTAATCACAAACAAAAGGTTTGTAAACTCATTAAGTCCTTGTATAGATTGAAAAAAGCTCCTAAACAATGGCACCAAAAGTTTGATAAAGTAATGTTAAACGAATTTAAGATAAATGAGTGTGACAAGTGTATATATATAAAATACACACCAAATGCCTATATGATTATATGTCTATATGTGGACGATTTATTGATAATGGGTAATAGTCACAAAATGATGCTAAATGCTAACAAAGCATTTTGATATGAAAGATATAAGTGTGGCTGATGTGATATTAGGGATTAAGATCTCTAGAATATCGAAAGAAATTGTACCTTTCCAATCTCACTATGTTGAGAGTATACTTAAGAGGTATAACGTGTTTGAGAAAGGTCCTGCGAAAACCCTATAGACACAAGTTTACACTTAATCAAAAATATGGGTGAATGTATGTTACAACTAAATGATTCACAACTGATAGACAGTGTAATTATATTACAAACTATCCTCGATCAGACATAGCCTTTTGCTGTGAATAAACTTAGTAGTTTCACTAGTAATCTAAGCCAAGATTATTGAAAGGCTTTAACAAGGGTTCTTAGGTACTTGAAGTGTACCTTAACCTATGAATTATATTTCTCAAAATGTCCTGTGGTATTGGCAGGATATTGTGATATGAATTGGATATCCGACATGAAGGATTTCAAGTCTACTAGCGGCTACGTATTTACCATTGGTGAAGCTGCTATATCATGGAAATTGACAAAGCAAACATGTATAGTTTGATCAGCAATAGAATCTGAGCTCATTACTTTGGACAAAGTTGGAGAAGAAGCAGAACGACTTTATAACTTCGTGGAAGATATTTCATGTTGGCACAAGCCGGTACATGCAATAAGTATAGATTGTGATAGTCAATCGGCTATTAGAAGGGCTCGAAGCAGCATATATAATGGTAAGTCTAGACATATAAATCGTAGATACAATACCATTAAGCAACTGATCTCTAATGGAATCATCTCCATAGATTATGTGATATTAAAGGAGAACATCACGGATCCACTTATGAAAGGCTTGCCTAGAAATCAAATACGTTGTCTATCGAAGGGAATGTAATTAAAGCCTACTGCGTAAGACTCTTTATAATGGTAACCCTATCTTGTTGATTGGCTGGAGATCCCTATATTTTTGTTCAAAGGGACAACTAAATTACGGGATTCAATGAAACACATAGAAAATTATTTCCAAACTTATTCCTATGATATTAAAGTGCTTTCTGTAGAGTGATCAGAGGTTAAGATATCTTTTAATTGATTCCAATATATTGATTAAGTCAGGTGGAGTAGGACATAATGCTCTTAATAGGACTTCACCTATGTAAGTGTAAAATGGGGCTGCTTCAATGAGAATTGTTCGAGGCTAAAATTCTCTAAATACTTATGAAACCCTAGAGCGGTTCAGGGTCAAAATGAACCAAGTCATGAGAACCACGAATGGATCAGGGAAGAAATTTTTGTGTGAGTATTGTTGTCTTGGCTTACACTAATGGCTGAATAGTTCAAGACATCACGTTCACCAATTAGACTGGTAAGTCCGATAGTATTTTGCTAAGGTTTAAAGTTGGAAGCTACCTTACCCAATGCAGTGTTTTTTCGCTCTCTACAATGTATGATAAATTTTCGCATAGCATATGCAAATTTGAATTTTCATTTATGTGGGGAATTGTTAGAAATTGGTTTAAAATTTGAGAAATTTGGTTAAGTGTGGAAAAGTGACTCTCATATCAACTTTGGCAAAGTATTCAGACTTGATCTGATAATCAAATTACAAATATAAATAGACTAACTTGTTCTACTCGTCGAGTAGATCATCATGGTGTATTTGAAATCTCAATACCGATTCTAAATGAATGAGAAATTGAGGTCCAAAGTCAGAAGAAAAATAGAGGAAAACTAGCCTAGATTTTTGCTTAACTCTGTCACTCGCCTATCGCTCAAGCAACGGGACTATCGCATGAGCGACAGGCTAGTGACATGTGGATGAAAAGTTTCTGTTAAACTTGAAGTTTTGCTGTCTATGTATGTAGACGATAGTTTCAAAGGCCATTTAATTGAAAGATTTAGATGACAAATCGTTTTAAGCCATGAGGAAAATGAACTCTATATTTGATTGCTTGAGCGATAGGCTAGTGATAAGTAGGCGAAAAGTTTCTGTTAAACTTGAAGTTTTGCTGCGTACGAATGTAGATGATAGTTTCAAAGGCCATTTAATTAAAAGATTTAGATAACAAATCGTTTTAAGCCATGAGGAAAACGAACTCTATATTTAAGGGGCTCAATGAACTCTTTTAATCTCTTGTTGCCTCAAAATATATCTGATAAAAAATAAAGTTTGCTGTATCATGAAGATTTTTTGAATTTGTTATTTTTAGTATCTCACATTTCACGTAATACCAGGAAGCACTTGGTTTCTCTTCTGCAGCCTTTGAGAAATTTTTTCTGTACAAGCTTTGATTTATTGACATATGAATGATATAATTCGAGGAAAGAAAGCTTTTGCAAACACTTCTTGTAACTCATTTTGTCTTTTTGTTTTTTCTTGCAGAGACCTCAGTTTCAACAAACTAAGTGGATCGATTCCTGATAATTTTTTGGGCCTGTCAAACACAGAGTACATGTAAGGATTTCAATTAGCAAGCCTTCATAGCCAAATTTCATTTTATTTGATTTGATTTCTTAAAGTAGAATTAATAAATAAATTTGAAACGAAAACCACTTTTGCTGCCTAAGATGGCCTTGCAAGCTTCAATTCCACTTAATAGCCTAACGCAACGCTGCAGGAAAATCAAATTTACACTGGTAATCATGCAAGGGACTAAAATGGACCCTTTTGAGCTAGCTATGGAAATAGCTTATCCTTTCTGGTATAGAAACTGGAAATCCTTTTGGCCTCTACCTGCTTTTATTTCATTTAGTCTTCAAGGGGGCAGTGGTAGGAGGGTAGGGACATGGTTAATACTAAAGGGGTTTTCTTAATTTCATTCGATATATCATCTCATTTGTCCTTATCTTGTTGAACTGAAGTTTCTCCTACATTTGAGTTGTCAAAGATAGCATTTTTCAACTTTGTAGTTCGACTCAATGGCCTTGGCAATTTAAAGAATTAAGAGTCCTTGTGGAGGTTAAATGCCGAACATAGCTTTTAGACAAGATATTCTGCAATCAAACAACTAAAATTTGGATTATATGGGTTATTGCTTGGATTTGAATATAAATGGATCTATTTGAATTCTAGGAATAGAGAACTATCATAACATTGGAGTTACTGTTATTTTTTGTGCTGACAAAATCATTGAAAGTGTATTAGAAACTACTAATAAATGTTCTTGATTTTGCCAGATATCTAACTGGGAACTCCCTAACTGGTCCATTGCCTGGTTGGATGCTGAAAGATGGAGATTCCATGTGAGTCTATCTATTTTTAACTTTCTTATCAATAATTTCAAACTACAGACCTTTGTCTCTTACCTGTTTATGATTGTGATTCTCATTTATAGATACTTCAGTCTCATCTTTCAAATAGTATCGACCATCATGTGAGGCAAATTGTCATAGAGATTCAGTCTTACCTAGTGTATGGTTAATCTTTTTTTCTTTTTCTTTTTTTATTAGATATTCTTGGTTGGTTTGACTTGATTCCATCCTGAATTAGCATTTTTTCTTTGCCTTTGGAAGAGGTGTATAATGAATTCTCTTACATATTTGCCTTGTTGATCCTATCATTTGTCAATGGATTACAGTTACCCTATGTGGTCAAAGTATTTAGTTCATAGAACTCCCATTACTGTGGTCCATGTGTTCAGAATCCCTAACCTTACGAAAGCTATGGGATTCTTTAGTACTAAGTTGGTTTATATATAATTCCAGTAATTACGTGAAAGGCAAATTTAGTTGGGCCATAGAAGCAATCATGAACGGGCCAAGAGTTCTGCTTTTCTTCTGTATTAAGGAAAAAAGGGCAATAGTAATCACAGAGAAGACAAACTAACACAATGCTGTCGATACGTCCTGCAATTTGTAGTTGAATTCCTTTTGTATATGCTTGTTCAGTTAATTCAATAGCCTTTTTCATTGCTTTTCTATATTGGCACAAAAAAAGGATCCATCCTTTACATGCTGATCCTTCGCGAGTATATTAAAACAGCATTCTTGATTGTGTAATTTTCAAAAAATTAAACTGCAAGATGAATAGACATCGTAATTGACTATCTTGTTGACTTTTATCTAGTGATCTATCCTACAACAACCTTACATTTGAAAACAAATCCTCAAATTGTCAACCGCGCAGTGAACTGTAAGATGACTTTCACTATTCTCAGAATTATAATTTGATTCTTTTCCAATCTTTAACATTTTAGTAACACTGCACCATTTTTTTGCAGGAACTTGTTTGAAAGCTCAAAGGGAAATACAACGTGAGTTTCTATGATTCTTTCATGCTTTGTTTCCTATGATTCCTCAGTCTTTCCTTATTATATATATCTTGTTTCACTATGATCCAACCCTGACTATTTCTAACACATTAACATTTTCCCAGTGGTATCACATCTTGTTTAAGGAGCTTTCACTGTGAGAAAAGTAAGTTAAAGTTCACTTCTACAGGATTGCCTAACCCATTTCTTTAAGGTTGGCCACTTTGTTTTCATTGTATTTGAAGTCAAATAAAAAATTTATGGAAATTACGAAATGGAAAATGATATAGGATGAAAACAAGTAAAAGAGGGTGTAGAAATCATCATGTCATTGTAATGAACAAAATGTGGAATTAAAGATGTGACAACGGGAATTTACATAAATAGTATGATGTCAGAGTGTAGTCTCTTGGCTCCTTTTCACTCTCTCCTTTGATTATTAGAACTTGACACGACCTGTCCCGAATCACCATAGTGGACCCGGAGCATGACGTGCGCCGATGATAAATGCCAGATACATCACCAATGCTAACTATGAGCTACCACAAAATATGAGCCAAAATCAAATGCTTATGAAAATATAATGCGATGGGAACAAAATAATTAATTCGTGTTTTATCAAAATTGTTGCAGAATCAACCTCCAATTGATGGATTTTCCGGGCTCAAGATACCAATTTTGACCTTCACAACACCCAAGCAAATCACGACCCAAACCTCCAACCTTCTTCCACACTCTGGTTGCTTTACCTTGTACCCACTAAGGACACAATAGGGATGGTGTTTTTCAGCCACAAAGACTGAAAAATCAAGAAGAAAATTAGCAAGAAGAAAATCAACCGAGAGAGAGCACAAAGTAAAAGAGGCAGAGAGTTTTCTTCCAAAGCCATGAAACACACGTGAGTTGTAGAAGACCAAGAAGGCTAGTATATATAGGTTAGGTTAGGTCAAAATATGTGGGCCAAGTCCAATACAAAGGGGTTAAGTGGGCCAATAAAATAAGCCGTCCAATGAGTGTGGAAGTCGGACCATGAGCAAAACTAATTAATCAGGTTGCTTCCTTATGGTCCAAATAGTTTTAAGGTCGGGTCCTCAATTTTGGCTGTCGATAATTAATATATCCAACATCGGTTTAATATCATCGCTCGGGATTATTGGGTATAAAAAAATCCAACAATCTCCATCTTGATGCCCAATAATTTGTAAGCAACCAAAATACAAAGTTTAAATTTGCACAATCAAGGTAATCCAATAAAATTGGTATCACAGACCTTACCTCGTGTTTTGAACTGAAACACACACCATACCTACTACATGTACTCACCGGGGCTAAGGTAAAAAAAACACTCAAGTAGGAACAAGTATTACAATGAACAAATAATCATGCAAGGAAGATATTATATAGGATACTACAAAGATCTTTTAAGAAAATCACATTCACACAGAACAACAGATTAACACCAAGTTAATCAACACACAGTCAAACACATATGCAACAAATGCATAAATGATCTCACGATAGATCTCACCACACTTATCCTATCCCATTTCATATTACTCCCACCTCGAGAGCACATATCTTCTCTCATCACCCACCATGCTCACTAAATAGATCACTCAACTCATGTCTAACTAGCAAGTCACAATAGATCATGTGTTCTTGGGATAATCCTTTATCACCACATCACTTCTTCCAAAAAAACCCTTAGGGTTTAAATGGATTTTAAAAAAGAAACTAAAATCTGATGAATCCATTGATAAATCTAAGGCTAGGTTGATTATCAAAAGATATAGATAAAAAGATGAACTTGACTTCTTTGATGCCTACTCACCCGTAACTAGAATCAGATAGATAAGATTGTTAATTGCAATTGCGACAATACCCAATCTTGAGATTCATTAAATGGATGTAAAAATGGCATTCATAAATGGCGCGTTAGAAGAGGAGATATACATGGAACAACCTAAAGGGTTCGTCTCTCCTAATCACAAACAAAAGGTTTGTAAACTCATTAAGTCCTTGTATAGATTGAAAAAAGCTCCTAAACAATGGCACCAAAAGTTTGATAAAGTAATGTTGTTAAACGAATTTAAGATAAATGAGTGTGACAAGTGTATATATATAAAATACACACCAAATGCCTATATGATTATATGTCTATATGTGGACGATTTATTGATAATGGGTAATAGTCACAAAATGATGCTAAATGCTAACAAAGCATTTTGATATGAAAGATATAAGTGTGGCTGATGTGATATTAGGGATTAAGATCTCTAGAATATCGAAAGAAATTGTACCTTTCCAATCTCACTATGTTGAGAGTATACTTAAGAGGTATAACGTGTTTGAGAAAGGTCCTGCGAAAACCCTATAGACACAAGTTTACACTTAATCAAAAATATGGGTGAATGTATGTTACAACTAAATGATTCACAACTGATAGACAGTGTAATTATATTACAAACTATCCTCGATCAGACATAGCCTTTTGCTGTGAATAAACTTAGTAGTTTCACTAGTAATCTAAGCCAAGATTATTGAAAGGCTTTAACAAGGGTTCTTAGGTACTTGAAGTGTACCTTAACCTATGAATTATATTTCTCAAAATGTCCTGTGGTATTGGCAGGATATTGTGATATGAATTGGATATCCGACATGAAGGATTTCAAGTCTACTAGCGGCTACGTATTTACCATTGGTGAAGCTGCTATATCATGGAAATTGACAAAGCAAACATGTATAGTTTGATCAGCAATAGAATCTGAGCTCATTACTTTGGACAAAGTTGGAGAAGAAGCAGAACGACTTTGTAACTTCGTGGAAGATATTTCATGTTGGCACAAGCCGGTACATGCAATAAGTATAGATTGTGATAGTCAATCGGCTATTAGAAGGGCTCGAAGCAGCATATATAATGGTAAGTCTAGACATATAAATCGTAGATACAATACCATTAAGCAACTGATCTCTAATGGAATCATCTCCATAGATTATGTGATATTAAAGGAGAACATCACGGATCCACTTATGAAAGGCTTGCCTAGAAATCAAATACGTTGTCTATCGAAGGGAATGTAATTAAAGCCTACTGCGTAAGACTCTTTATAATGGTAACCCTATCTTGTTGATTGGCTGGAGATCCCTATATTTTTGTTCAAAGGGACAACTAAATTACGGGATTCAATGAAACACATAGAAAATTATTTCCAAACTTATTCCTATGATATTAAAGTGCTTTCTGCAGAGTGATCAGAGGTTAAGATATCTTTTAATTGATTCCAATATATTGATTAAGTCAAGTGGAGTAGGACATAATGCTCTTAATAGGACTTCACCTATGTAAGTGTAAAATGGGGCTGCTTCAATGAGAATTGTTCGAGGCTAAAATTCTCTAAATACTTATGAAACCCTAGAGCGGTTCAGGGTCAAAATGAACCAAGTCATGAGAACCACGAATGGATCAGGGAAGAAATTTTTGTGTGAGTATTGTTGTCTTGGCTTACACTAATGGCTGAATAGTTCAAGACATCACGTTCACCAATTAGACAGGTAAGTCCGATAGTATTTTGCTAAGGTTTAAAGTTGGAAGCTACCTTACCCAATGCAGTGTTTTTTCGCTCTCTACAATGTATGATAAATTTTCGCATAGCATATGCAAATTTGAATTTTCATTTATGTGGGGAATTGTTAGAAATTGGTTTAAAATTTGAGAAATTTGGTTAAGTGTGGAAAAGTGACTCTCATATCAACTTTGGCAAAGTATTCAGACTTGATCTGATAATCAAATTACAAATATAAATAGACTAACTTGTTCTACTCGTCGAGTAGATCATCATGGTGTATTTGAAATCTCAATACCGATTCTAAATGAATGAGAAATTGAGGTCCAAAGTCAGAAGAAAAATAGAGGAAAACTAGCCTAGATTTTTGCTTAACTCTGTCACTCGCCTATCGCTCAAGCAACGGGACTATCGCATGAGCGACAGGCTAGTGACATGTGGATGAAAAGTTTCTGTTAAACTTGAAGTTTTGCTGTCTATGTATGTAGACGATAGTTTCAAAGGCCATTTAATTGAAAGATTTAGATGACAAATCGTTTTAAGCCATGAGGAAAATGAACTCTATATTTGATTGCTTGAGCGATAGGCTAGTGATAAGTAGGCGAAAAGTTTCTGTTAAACTTGAAGTTTTGCTGCGTACGAATGTAGATGATAGTTTCAAAGGCCATTTAATTAAAAGATTTAGATAACAAATCGTTTTAAGCCATGAGGAAAACGAACTCTATATTTAAGGGGCTCAATGAACTCTTTTAATCTCTTGTTGCCTCAAAATATATCTGATAAAAAATAAAGTTTGCTGTATCATGAAGATTTTTTGAATTTGTTATTTTTAGTATCTCACATTTCACGTAATACCAGGAAGCACTTGGTTTCTCTTCTGCAGCCTTTGAGAAATTTTTTCTGTACAAGCTTTGATTTATTGACATATGAATGATATAATTCGAGGAAAGAAAGCTTTTGCAAACACTTCTTGTAACTCATTTTGTCTTTTTGTTTTTTCTTGCAGAGACCTCAGTTTCAACAAACTAAGTGGATCGATTCCTGATAATTTTTTGGGCCTGTCAAACACAGAGTACATGTAAGGATTTCAATTAGCAAGCCTTCATAGCCAAATTTCATTTTATTTGATTTGATTTCTTAAAGTAGAATTAATAAATAAATTTGAAACGAAAACCACTTTTGCTGCCTAAGATGGCCTTGCAAGCTTCAATTCCACTTAATAGCCTAACGCAACGCTGCAGGAAAATCAAATTTACACTGGTAATCATGCAAGGGACTAAAATGGACCCTTTTGAGCTAGCTATGGAAATAGCTTATCCTTTCTGGTATAGAAACTGGAAATCCTTTTGGCCTCTACCTGCTTTTATTTCATTTAGTCTTCAAGGGGGCAGTGGTAGGAGGGTAGGGACATGGTTAATACTAAAGGGGTTTTCTTAATTTCATTCGATAAATCATCTCATTTGTCCTTATCTTGTTGAACTGAAGTTTCTCCTACATTTGAGTTGTCAAAGATAGTATTTTTCAACTTTGTAGTTCGACTCAATGGCCTTGGCAATTTAAAGAATTAAGAGTCCTTGAGGAGGTTAAATGCCGAACATATCTTTTAGACAAGATATTCTGCAATCAAACAACTAAAATTTGGATTATATGGGTTATTGCTTGGATTTGAATATAAATGGATCTATTTGAATTCTAGGAATAGAGAACTATCATAACATTGGAGTTACTGTTATTTTTTGTGCTGACAAAATCATTGAAAGTGTATTAGAAACTACTAATAAATGTTCTTGATTTTGCCAGATATCTAACTGGGAACTCCCTAACTGGTCCATTGCCTGGTTGGATGCTGAAAGATGGAGATTCCATGTGAGTCTATCTATTTTTAACTTTCTTATCAATAATTTCAAACTACAGACCTTTGTCTTTTACCTGTTTATGATTGTGATTCTCATTTATAGATACTTCAGTCTCATCTTTCAAATAGTATCGACCATCATGTGAGGCAAATTGTCATAGAGATTCAGTCTTACCTAGTGTATGGTTAATCTTTTTTTCTTTTTCTTTTTTTATTAGATATTCTTGGTTGGTTTGACTTGATTCCATCCTGAATTAGCATTTTTTCTTTGCCTTTGGAAGAGGTGTATAATGAATTCTCTTACATATTTGCCTTGTTGATCCTATCATTTGTCAATGGATTACAGTTACCCTATGTGGTCAAAGTATTTAGTTCATAGAACTCCCATTACTGTGGTCCATGTGTTCAGAATCCCTAACCTTACGAAAGCTATGGGATTCTTTAGTACTAAGTTGGTTTATATATAATTCCAGTAATTACGTGAAAGGCAAATTTAGTTGGGCCATAGAAGCAATCATGAACGGGCCAAGAGTTCTGCTTTTCTTCTGTATTAAGGAAAAAAGGGCAATAGTAATCACAGAGAAGACAAACTAACACAATGCTGTCGATACGTCCTGCAATTTGTACTTGAATTCCTTTTGTATATGCTTGTTCAGTTAATTCAATAGCCTTTTTCATTGCTTTTCTATATTGGCACAAAAAAAGGATCCATCCTTTACATGCTGATCCTTCGCGAGTATATTAAAACAGCATTCTTGATTGTGTAATTTTCAAAAAATTAAACTGCAAGATGAATAGACATCGTAATTGACTATCTTGTTGACTTTTATCTAGTGATCTATCCTACAACAACCTTACATTTGAAAACAAATCCTCAAATTGTCAACCGCGCAGTGAACTGTAAGATGACTTTCACTATTCTCAGAATTATAATTTGATTCTTTTCCAATCTTTAACATTTTAGTAACACTGCACCATTTTTTTGCAGGAACTTGTTTGAAAGCTCAAAGGGAAATACAACGTGAGTTTCTATGATTCTTTCATGCTTTGTTTCCTATGATTCCTCAGTCTTTCCTTATTATATATATCTTGTTTCACTATGATCCAACCCTGACTATTTCTAACACATTAACATTTTCCCAGTGGTATCACATCTTGTTTAAGGAGCTTTCACTGTGAGAAAAGTAAGTTAAAGTTCACTTCTACAGGATTGCCTAACCCATTTCTTTAAGGTTGGCCACTTTGTTTTCATTGTATTTGAAGTCAAATAAAAAATTTATGGAAATTACGAAATGGAAAATGATATAGGATGAAAACAAGTAAAAGAGGGTGTAGAAATCATCATGTCATTGTAATGAACAAAATGTGGAATTAAAGATGTGACAACGGGAATTTACATAAATAGTATGATGTCAGAGTGTAGTCTCTTGGCTCCTTTTCACTCTCTCCTTTGATTATTAGAACTTGACACGACCTGTCCCGAATCACCATAGTGGACCCGGAGCATGACGTGCGCCGATGATAAATGCCAGATACATCACCAATGCTAACTATGAGCTACCACAAAATATGAGCCAAAATCAAATGCTTATGAAAATATAATGCGATGGGAACAAAATAATTAATTCGTGTTTTATCAAAATTGTTGCAGAATCAACCTCCAATTGATGGATTTTCCGGGCTCAAGATACCAATTTTGACCTTCACAACACCCAAGCAAATCACGACCCAAACCTCCAACCTTCTTCCACACTCTGGTTGCTTTACCTTGTACCCACTAAGGACACAATAGGGATGGTGTTTTTCAGCCACAAAGACTGAAAAATCAAGCAGAAAATTAGCAAGAAGAAAATCAACCGAGAGAGAGCACAAAGCAAAAGAGGCAGAGAGTTTTCTTCCAAAGCCATGAAACACACGTGAGTTGTAGAAGACCAAGAAGGCTAGTATATATAGGTTAGGTTAGGTCAAAATATGTGGGCCAAGTCCAATACAAAGGGGTTAAGTGGGCCAATAAAATAAGCCGTCCAATGAGTGTGGAAGTCGGACCATGAGCAAAACTAATTAATCAGGTTGCTTCCTAATGATCCAAATAGTTTTAAGGTCGGGTCCTCAATTTTGGCTGTCGATAATTAATATATCCAACATCGGTTTAATATCATCGCTCGGGATTATTGGGTATAAAAAAATCCAACAATCTCCATCTTGATGCCCAATAATTTGTAAGCAACCAAAATACAAAGTTTAAATTTGCACAATCAAGGTAATCCAATAAAATTGGTATCACAGACCTTACCTCGTGTTTTGAACTGAAACACACACCATACCTACTACATGTACTCACCGGGGCTAAGGTAAAAAAAACACTCAAGTAGGAACAAGTATTACAATGAACAAATAATCATGCAAGGAAGATATTATATAGGATACTACAAAGATCTTTTAAGAAAATCACATTCACACAGAACAACAGATTAACACCAAGTTAATCAACACACAGTCAAACACATATGCAACAAATGCATAAATGATCTCACGATAGATCTCACCACACTTATCCTATCCCATTTCATATTACTCCCACCTCGAGAGCACATATCTTCTCTCATCACCCACCATGCTCACTAAATAGATCACTCAACTCATGTCTAACTAGCAAGTCACAATAGATCATGTGTTCTTGGGATAATCCTCTATCACCACATCACTTCTTCCAAACTATGTGGATAATGAGCCTCCACCTTACAGAAGTGATAAAAGTGCCTTTCTCGCGCTCCACCTGTACAGGGTCTCTTTCATAGATAAAAGATTCTACACATTTGATCACATCTCCACTCGTGATCCAAATGTCATACTCTACATCCCTCGGTACAAATCACCATGTACCCCTAGGCATCTATACTCTACCTTACCAAAAGATATCTAACACACTGCTAATGCATCTTAACCCACTATGCATGCAAACGATCACACTAAGTAATTACATTGCCTTAAATTTATGCAAACACACATATCAAACAAATTGAAATGCAACATATAATCATGTAACAAATTAGGCAATCACACACTTACAGAAAGGATCAAACACAGATGCATATGCAGTGACTAAGTTTACTCTCTCAACAAACCTCACTCGGGTCATAGCTCGACCCCTCAACCACATTCGTCTCACCTCTCATCTTACCCTTCCGCTTATCCTTCTTCTTTGAATAATCCCTAATAAAGTGTCTAGACTTACCATAACTATAATATCGCCTACCACTAGACTTGTCCCGCCCCGTGCCTTTCATCTTACCACTTTCATCACTTGAGTCACTACTCAAATGACTCTACTCAAATCACCACTATTTTGAGCTCTACCCAAATTCATATGCTTAAACTTCATCCTACTCCTTATCATGTGTAACTCACCACTCCTCTTATCTTCATTTTCAGCCATAATTTCCTTTTCCTTACTCCTAAGTGAGTCTACGACAATTTCAGGTGTCAACGTATCCCTACCATACTTAATGGCATTTTTAACTTCCTTAAATGACTCAGGCATGGAATAAAGTAGGATAATAGCCTTATATGTTTCAAATACGATTTCTTCACTGTTAACAATATCTTGGACAGGTTTATTGAAAACATCCAGATTGTCATCAAGATCCTTTGAATGATCCATTTTAAAACTGAAGAATGACTCAAGAAGATAAAGTTTATTGGGAGTGGATTTAAGCAAACACAGATCTTCCAACTTTTTTCAAAGCTCTTTTGTGGTTTTCAATTTTCCTACATTTTTCAAAACAGCACTAGATAGGTTTAAAATGATTGAGGTATAAGCAAGCTCATCGACTTCTTCTTTTTGTTAAAAATTAGCTGAATAATTGTCTTCAATGGCTTTTGAAACCTTTTGTTGGACCAAAATACCCTTAATTTTTTGCTGCCAGAATGAAAAATCACATTTTCCATTAAAAATACCAACTTCGAAATGCGAAAATATTTTTTGGAAAAAACGAAGCAATCAAATGCACAAATAGGTCACACAAAGTAATCATACGGCCGCAATATAAACCGTCCTAGATTCTTAGGGTTTCGTATGACTTGCGGTCTTAGATCAAGGAAACGTTCAAATGTGTAAGGTCTAGGTATTCTAACGGAAGTAATAACATAGCGAAATTTATGATGCAACAAAATAGGTATGTCCAATCAAACGGAATTTCACGACAATTTTAGCACAAAGCACAATACGCTAATTTATCCAAATATAAGTATTCAATCACAAAAATTAAGAGCAAGTAATCCTAATTTCTAGCACAAGCAATGGTTTCCAAGTAATGACAACCCACAATCCTAACGATCACCCCACACGATAATTTGCTAATGCTGAAATTTAAATTGAGATAAGCCAACGTACCAAAGCGGACCTATTTGAGTCCGTAAATTATGAGGAATGCAAATTTGTTATTTTTAGACCTTCGCTATTAGCCCCAAAGTCACCAACAACCAATTGAGCAAAATTGAATCACAAACATGCAGGGGCAAAATCTTCCAAATTTTACAGCATTAACCAAAATTGAAAACTAAAACCACTACAGGGTTCGTCTCGTCGTCCGGAGAAAACTGCCTGAGGACACCGTCGCCAGAGGAGGTCCCATGTGCTGATGCCGGAGCTCCATGAACCATCGATCCGGCCACGCGCCACCCACTCCGGTGCGCCTCGACCTATTGAACACGTTGGTGGTCTTGGTTTATCCAAAAGGTAAGCCGTTTTACCAGAAATCAAACAAACAGATCCGACAGAAAATTGAAAAATCTGAACAGATCCCGTTTCTAATTTTCTGGTAATTTTCAGGCCAATTTCCGATTAGTTTCAGGCCAGAAATCCACCAACAACCTTGCTCTGATACCAAATGTTGAAGAATTGACCTCCAATTGAAGGATTTTTCAAGCTCAGGATACCAATCTCGACCTTCAAAACACCCAAGCAAATCACGACCCAAACCTCCAACCTTCTTCCACACTCCGGTTGCTTTACCTTGTACACACTAAGGACACAATAGGGACGGTGTTTTTCAGCCACAAAGACGATGCCACAAAGACTATGAAGAAGCAAGAGAAAATCTGCCGAGAGAGAGCACAAAGCAAAAGAGGCAGAGAGTTTTCTTCCAAAGCCAAGAAACACACGTGAGTTGTAAAAGACCAAGAAGGCTAGTATATATAGGTTAGGTTAGGTCAAAGTATATGGGCCAAGTCCAATACAAAGGGTTAAGTGGGCCAACAAAATAAGCCGTCTAATGAGTGTGGAAATCAGGCCATGAGCAACACTAATTAAATTAGGTTGCTTCCAATAGTCCAAATAGTTTTAGGGTCGGGTCCTCAATTTTGGGTGTTAATAATTAATATATCCAACATCGGTTTAACATCATCGCTCGGGATTGTTGGGTATCAAAAAACCCAACAAAAATGAATCATATCATATATGTCCTGTGGCTATCACTTTAAAATCATCAGGCTCCTCAATCTATAAAGAACTAATAGCTACCTGTAGAAAAAAATAGTGGGAAAATATATGAGTTGATAGTTCAGTGAGTGGAGAAGTTCGAAAATTTTTTTACTTTCGCTTTTATACGTTTTTTTTATTGAAAATCGAGTTGACATCATTTAACAGTTCACATTATAACAACATATAAAACTAATAAAGATGTGAGACATCTTCATAATGTCAAAATATATTGTCTCATAGTCACGATATAATCATCAACTC